GAGCCGCGAAGCGACATGGTGCTGCTCAAGGAGTAGTGAGTGTCCGGCCGGCCGTGCGGAAGCGAGGAAGGAGGGAGAGTCGAGGATGACGACCAGGGAGGCTGCTGGCCTGGCGGAGGGGATGCAGCGGCTGGACGGGGCCCGACAGGACGGAGAGCGCTGGATGGGCTGTTGGGCGGCACAGCAGGGGCTGAGGGGACAGCGAGGGCCAAATAGGGCCCGAGGTGGGCCCAACGAAGATAGAGAGGGATAGACAGCACCTGAGGTGGGACCCAAGGGGCAGCGAGGGCCGAATAGGCCTGAGGAGAGGCCGAGGGGACAAAGAGGGCCGGACAGGCCTGAGATGGGGTCAAGGGGACAGTGAGAGGCAGACCGGGCATGAGGAGGGCCTGAGGGGGCTGAGCACTGGATGAGATGTGGGGTGGCCCTCGAGTGGAGGCTGAGGGATGAAGGGGCCAGCCAGAGCTGCAGGACCCACGATAGAGGGAGGAGTTGTCTGAGGGGCTGAGGAACAGTTTGACTGGGGCAGGCAGGGCTGGCTATCCTGCCAGTGTTGGGAGGGGTTTGGGCTGAACAGTACCAAGGGGCACTGGGAGATTAGATAAGATAGCTTCAAGAATGGAGTTGAGATGATGAGGAGGAGTGTTGAGGGCAGCCTGGGGTCTGAGGAGTGGCTGCCTTAGGCATCAGGATTGTAATAAGTAGACACTGGAAAAGGACTAGGGAGTCAGGGCCAGGCTGAGTGACAGGGGAAGGGGCTAAGGAGATAGCAGAGGGGACTGGTGGTGTGACATGGTGCCCAAGTGATGGGCACAGGGGAGGAGGTATTTGGAAAAGAGCTTAGAGTGATTGCTTGGGACTTGGGGACACTTGGTGAGGAGTCCAGAAAATATTGGTCAGGGGCTGAAGTGATACTGAGGAGTTATGGTAATGGAGAGGGCCAGGATGTTACCTGGAAGGAGGGCAGTTTGGGAAGAGAGAGTGCTCATGAATGAATATGCATGTTACTAGGGTGGGGGACAGGGCCAGCCTATCTCAGGGATTTTCAGTCTTGGTGCAGAGGGATAGGGAAATTGCTTTGAGAAATTTGGGAGGTTTTCATAAAGCCATTGACTGAGGAAAGACAGTGAAGAGTGAGGGAGTTTCTGAGTAGTGCCTGGAGGGTGGGAAACGAGTGTCTTCTGGTAGAAGTTTCAGGGAGATGGGCTAGCTCCTGAAATCGGGGGAACTGGATGACGGGGTGGATGTTTTGATTTCTAAATCTTTCAAATACAAGATGACCCATTCCTGAAGCTCCGAGTAAACATCTTAGGACTTTTTTCTTCAAAGAGGAGAGATTGGGGGGTGGGGAGAGGAGTGATTGGATGTATCTGTGCAGAACTTATAGTGAAACTGTGCTTCCCTGGAGAGGAGGGCAAGTGGGCAGCACTGGGCCAGAAGCCCAGGAGGTCTGGAAGAGGAAGATGTGCGGGTAGAGAGCAACTGGTGGAACTCACTTGGTAGCTGGGCAGGTGTGCAAAGAGAGCTGTTTCCATTTTGTCAGTGAATGGACTTTGCCCCCATTCTATCCAGCTTGCTTCTTGAAGGTGTTTAGGACATTTAGGACATAGTGCGGAGCTTTGGATAGCAAAGGAAACAGAGACCCAGGTGTCATCCCAGCTTGACTCCTCATCTGAAGAGCATTATTTTGAAGCCCCTCCACCTCTCTTTCTTGACATCCAATCTGATGCTGATCCGGCCAGAGTGCAGAGCTTTGTGTGGTGAGGAGGAAGAGCCTGGGGAAGCCAATGGGAGGAGAGCATTGTGCCCTTTGGATTTTAGTCTTGACACTCCGGATGATAGACTCTTCCCATTCTCCTGATTCTTTGTTCTGTTCCCAGTTGAATTCTAGAATCTATAGAAACCTGTAGTTTTTGTAAAGAAGACCAGGCAGGGAAGGGAAAGGACATTCAGAAGAGATCTGAGTGAGTTTTGAAGAGAGGTCCTCCGTTCCCAGTCTTTGTTCTACTCCCCTTGAAGCCTGCCAGGGAAAGGCCCAAGGTGCCAGCGATGCAGAGCCTGTCTGGCACCTGCATTTCCTTCCTGCCCAACTTGTGCCCTGTGTGTGCTTGGGTGCATGTGTGCATCCCTGGGCGAGGGACCAGGACGGGGGACCAGGACGGGGACATCGGAGACACTTGGCTATGGCTGCAGTGCTGCAGCTCTGGGGAGAGTGCGAGTGAAGGTCACGCTGAAGTGAGCACGGCTCCAGTCCCAGCCCCGCACTGCCTCTGTGGCCCTGTCCTTTGGAATTGCACCCTCTCACTGCTGAAGTGGTTTTGCTCCCAAGGAGACAGGGAGGAACGTCGGGGGGCGCAGCTGTAACATCGCTGCCTCAGAGCATCCTGTCAGGAACTGGCTGATACCGGTCTCTTTTGAGGGGAGACTTGGTGCCCACCCAGGGCCTGAAGGTTGTCCCTGTTGATTTTTCTGACACTTCCTCTAACAGGATTCTCCTTGATTTGATGTCTGCAAATTCTAGGATGTGATTTTTACTGCTGTTCTTGAAGATAAAAGGCTTATTGTTTTCTAGGAAGTTTCTTCTGAGGGTGGAGAAATTGTGACCTCCAAGTTGGAAGTATTTTTCTGCACCGTCGGCTTTCTCTGATGGGAGGAGAGCAATAGTGGCAGCATCCAGTGACCTGCAGAATTTACATTATTTGAGACATTCTGGAGGAGGGGGTTAGCAGGCAGTAAAGACTTGGAGTCCGTTTTGCTTTTCCTGCTACTTTCCTGCTCGATGCCTTGCCTTGAGTGTGATGTTTTTCCCAGACCCCTCTGGGTGCTTCTTGCTATCTGGGGGACCTTTATGGGACTACAAAATAGTGAGCAGGCTATTTACCAGCCTGGAGCGAGGATTCCGATTGGCAGAAGCACTGCATAGGAAGGAGAGCATAGCAGCACATGCTTCACCAAACACGCAAGATGCAGGAGGCTCTGGGGGTTCCAGCTAGGGTCTGGGGACTAAGAATCTAAGCTTGGGAGCTGGCTTGATTTGTAGGAACACAACCCAGCATTTTTGTCTCAGCTCTCAGACCTCTCAGCTCTGAACTGGGGATTGGCCATTGCTCTTCGTTACAAATACAAGTCCCCGCAAGGCGGGCTGCTGGCCCTCACACCTCTGTGTGTGGAATTCTGACCAGTGTGGGACTTTGCTGGCCATGCCTTCTCCATCAGGTGATTGATAGGTGGTGCATCCAATGATTGGTGGTCATTGAAATAGAGAAGAAGGAAAAGAAAGTGATCAGTTGGGATGCCTTTGGACAGCTTCTGAAGGTCAGGACACAAGTCAGTTGTCTTCTCTTGGTGGCTTTGTGGTAGTAGCTTATATCGTAATTATCTGGCCCCAGAGCAGAGATGGTTGGTTGGTGTGTTCTCAGGGTGATTAAGCTTCAGCGGAGTTTGACCCCTTCCTAGCCTTTCACACCTTAAGGACTGTTGTTGGGAGGTTGGGTCCACAGAGATGTAAATCCCCAGTGCCTGCGTCCTTGGGTCTGAATCTTCATTTTGGCTTCTGAGTTTTCAGGGATGGGTCCTCCTATGTTAACCTCTCTCTTTTACTAGAGTCACTGATAAGTTTTGTTGGGAAAGACATTGGGGAGAGGGAGAAGACAGCTCCAAATGTGAGTCACAGGCCTGAGAAGTAGCTGAGAAGAGACAGGTTTGCACTGAATCACAGGGTTCTAAGTGGGATGCCAGCACGGACAGAGGGGCCTAGACTCAGGGGGCCATTCTCTGCTGGGTTTTTGACGGTGAAATGTAGGGTCACAGGCAGCAAAACATTTAATACTTTGCTAAGATGATGCTTTAAGAGCAGGTTTCAGAGCCTGATGTTGATACTGTTTTTCTCTCTCTCGTAGTCGAGTCATCCTGCCTGTGTCTGTAGAAGAGGTAAGTCCTTTTTCTTCCTTTTTATCCATAGTTGGATGTAATTGCTTGTGACTCTTAGCTCACTTGGGCTCCAGGCGGCCTATGCTAATATCTGTGTGGTTTTCATGTTTGTTCTAGCATAGAGATAATCAGTACCCGATGTGAATTTTCCTGGTGCAGTTTTCAGTTGATGGAAGGCACTTACGTATCTGGGCAACTATGTATGACCTGCCTCGAGCTGCTGGCCTGCTAGATAACTTTGAATAGACACTAAACTGACCCCTCTTACCTGCTGGGACTCTGCCTGTCTGGGGAGATGTTATTGAGGGGGTTAAGTATGTATATTTCTGGGACCTCCATGACTCAACAGGGAAGTGTGCCTGGTTATCTCTGGTTGTGCAACAAACCAGCAAGACTGGAAACCTCTGAGGCCCTCCCGAGGCACGCTCTGGGTGACTCCTGGAAAGACCAAGGCCTGGAGCCCTCCTTTTATGGAGGGCGGAGAATGGCAGATGGACTTGGCTTCCCTCTGTCCTTTTATGGTTCTTGGGCTTGACGTCCCTGTGTATGAGGATCTGGCAGGATTTGCCACAAGGAGGTTCATAGGCCATGCTGAGTCAGAGTCGGTCTCCTGGACAGCAGGAGACTGTCACAGAGCCTCCCTCGTCCCGCCCTTTCTGTGAACTTCCTCCACTCTCCTTTCTGGGAGCAGCCTTGCTCTTTGCTTTATTCTGAATCCACAGGCCCCCCAGCTTCCGGTTAAGCTGGAGTTTGGGTGAGGGTGATCAGCCAGTATAGGTCCCCCAGTCACTCTTTCCTGTGGTGTCAGCAGGAAGCTCCTGAGATAACTTTCACTCTGTTCCAAATATGAAATGGACCTTTGAAAAATGAAATCAGGCCAACAGAGCCCACAGCCAAATAGCCAAGCCTCTTGGCCCCCCAAAAAAGGTGGGCAAGCATTGGCCCCCAGAAGATTGTCTCCAGTGGTGGGCTACATGTCTGTTAAGAGCTATGGAGACCCAGGGGAGGGGTCGGGTGTGCCCCAAACATGATGTGGGAGTTCTGGGAAAGGAGGATAATAGAAATGAGACTGGGGAAGCTGGAGAAAGGAGATGGCGGGGTAGATGCTGTGATCCTTGGGGACCCTGAGATGTACCAGTTGGGTCTGGGAACCACGTGCTTAGGCTGAGAGCTGCTGGCTTGTGGGGGTGCCGTGCTAACCCACCTTTTTATGAAAAATAGCAGGTGATGATTTTCCAAACCAGGAGGCCAAGCAGGAAGGCCCACCATGTTTGCTGTCCTGACACTCAGCTCTTGGGGGTCTGATGACTCCCTCTCTGCCGTACAGGAAGCTCCCACACCACAGTGAGGAAGATGTCCCGTAGGAAGTCAGGAGTTCCTCAAAGTGGCATTTAAGGGTGAAATGAATCTTTTCACAGGGAGTTTCTTGATGGAATGATAGGTAGGAATGTCTCTGAGAAGCATGGCAGACCCAGGAAGGCCAGTGCTGTCCAGGGGCACCTCTTGGCTGTTCCACAGTAAGGCTAGAGGGGCCAGAACAGTGCTTGTTTATGGTGGGGCCAAGAGTGGAGGAAAAGGGGAACTCACCTTGAGAGCATCTACATCTACAGTTGGTGGTTTTCAGCTGGCGATTGTTTTTTTGAGCACTGAGGAAGTAGTGGGGTGAGGTGAACCAAGCCTGAAAGCAGAAGCTCAGGCAGTGAGCACTGGCTAGGACTCATCTGTGAGCCTGGTGATGGCCAGCTTGTTCTCAGAATCCACCAATGAGAAAGCAGTGCTTGGCCTGGGTAGGGTTGAAGCAGGAGCTGCTCTTTTGATGTCTTGAACCTTAGTTCCAGAAGATGAGAAAATCTTGAATGAGGATGCTGAAGAAGAAATAAGTAGTGACCAGCCTTCTCAGAGTCTTTATTGATAACCCAACCTGACCCACAGTTCCAGTGAGAACAGCCCAGTGTCATGTGGCTATTGGATTCACTTCCCAGTTGGAGGCTGTGATTTGAAGCCCTCAGAGCTGTCTGATTTGAGGTGGGGAAGAGAAAAGAGAAGGCCCTGTCTTTATGACCATCCTGATGGTATGAGTCAATGTTTTGGGGTGAAGTTAGCTTCTGGCTGGCCAGAGCCTTTGCCCTAACACTCTGCAGGGTTTCTGGACATTCTGCAGGAGAGCACCAGAGCCCTGGCTGTTTGGTGGTGTGTCCACCAGTGGTTCCTGGCTCAGTTTGGCCCACCTTTTCCCCCTGCTATGGGCAGGGCTGTTTTACTTCTCATTTCCAGAGATGCAAGTTGCCAGGCCCCTACGGTACCTGGCCTGACTGGTCCATGGAACTGAGACCAACAGCTGTGGTGTCTTTCATGACATTTTTCAGGCCTACCTACTGCATCTTCCTGGGTTACCACTCCCAGATTGCCAAAGTGGTGGAGTCTCTGTTTGTCTTAGCTTAGTTCTTGGGAACAAGGGAGCAGATCTCCAGGGCAGGGAGTGCTATTCTTGGTCTAAGGAGGCTGGAATCCGGATCTCTTCTGGGCTCTTTATTTGATTTAATGTTCTGACCTGTAACCCCTACTTCCACTCCATCTGAATCTGGCTGCTTTCTGCTTTGTGGAGCCCCTGTGCTGAAGGGAACCCTCTGACATGAAAAGTGCCCCTCACTTGTGGCTTGTGGAGGCCAGTCTTACTTACTCCTTTGGATTAACAAAACTGCCTTCACATGTCTCATTGGGATTAAAGGATCAGAATATCAAGAGAGATTAAAAGGGGAAGATGCCAGCCCAACACACTGATCCTCTTAGAGCCTGCCCTCTGATTCCTGCAGCGAAGAGGAACCAAATGAAGGGGATTAGTCTCTGCCTGCGGCCCCTCCCTAAGCAGTACCAGCAGCCAGCAACCCAGTCCCCTCCACCAGGCCCTTTCCCTGGCCTGCCCTTTAGGATTGCTGAGTCAGTGGTTAGGTGTTCTTATGACTCTTCTCTGAAACAGAATTACTGCTGCTTCTTAGGAATCCCAGGCTCAGCCAAACCCTGGCCCACTTGGTGGGGTTTTCACATATGCCTCTGTTAGGGGGTGGACTTGGAAAGACACAGGGACAGCTTGGGGCATTGAGGCAGCCCTGATGTTACTCTGGATTAGCAAGGTCAAGGTGACTGTCTCTCACCCAGATGTTTCTCTTTTCAGGATTAACAGCCTTGATGGTTTGACTGGGCCTTTCCTTGGCATCTTATACTGGGTTTTAGCTTTGGAAGTTAGGGTTCTGTCAGCTTCATGGTAAATGGTGAATTGCCCTGCTGCTTCACTTTCCATGTTTTGCTGGAAATTTCCCTGCAGTGCTTAGGGAGCCACACGGTAGAGCAGGCTTCCAGGTTTGGGGGAAGCCTGCGGCTGCTCTGCTTGGTGCTGCTGCAGGCAGTGGTTTCAGTGGCAGCTTCCCAGAGTGTAGCTTCTCTGTTTTAATCTCAAAGGGAGAAAAACCTTTGTCTTTCACTCCTGGGAGTACCAGGAGGTTGGGGAAGGGACACAGGGGCTGAGGAAAACCTTTCTCCCCACCTGTTTTCCCACACTGTAGTCAAGTATCGTTTTGTCTTTTTCTCATACTCCCTAAACTGTTGTGTCTGGCAGCATTGGCCGTGATAGGGAAGATTCATCCTTTGGTATAGGCGTAACTTCCTGCATTAACTGTTGCTGTTTGTTCTCTTTTCACATCTTTTTTCCCTCCAGACAGCTTCCCTCAGAGAGAAGGGAGCAGAGGGGCCAGGCATGGTCCTTGCCGAAATCATTGGCCCTAATACTGAGTTGTCCTGAGAGGGTCAGAGGAGGCCAGTGATCTTGACTGGTGACTTGATAGGGTGGCATGTGACCCAAATAAAGAAAAACTAGGCTTTGGCCATCTAATGGGTGCCAACACAGAGGGTGCACCCAGCCAGCACCTGGGGTAGGAATCTGTGTTGTCTAATACAGGAAGCAAGGCACTAGCTTTAGCTCCACCAGGAATCAGGAAACCATCAGGAGGTTTGATTCCCTGCAAGACTGGTTTCTGAGCTGCTGACACGGTGAGGAGGGCCCAACACTGGAGAGAAAGCAAGTAGATGAGCCAATTTTACAGCAGAGGTTGTGGCTTTCACAGAGCCCTGGGTCACTTTCTTTACAAGAAGTCATGTCTTAGGATCTATTTAGACAAATGGGATAAAGAGACTTCTGGCCACCCATCCAGATCTTGTTTGGAGATTTGGGACCAGAGGCAGGTCCAGGGCAGAAGTGACCCTTTTGGACTCTAATCTGTTTTCTGGATAGTGGTATGAGATTAAGTATATTCACCTTCCTCCTTAAGCCTTGTTGGAAGATGTGAAAATGGGAAGGATGAAATTAAACACATCTGATGGCTAAAGAGAGGCCATGAAGCAGCCTTGGGTGGATTTGGGCAAGGCCCCGTGTGAAACTGCAGGGTGAGCTCCTGGATCAGGGGATTCCAGAGCAATCTAACTGGTTCTGGGCAGCTGGACCCATGTGCAACCACTGAGAAGATTCTGCATTGGTAGTAACTGCCATCTCTCTGTTCCTTCAGTATCAAGTAGGGCAGCTGTATTCTGTGGCTGAGGCCAGCAAAAATGAAACGGGTGGTGGTGAAGGTGTGGAGGTCTTGGTGAACGAGCCCTATGAGAAGGACGGTGAGAAAGGCCAGTACACACACAAGATCTACCACTTACAGAGGTAGGTGGCTGCGCAGCAGAGCCAAAGACAGCCTGGTGTAGAGGCGGAGCCAGCGGGTAACTGGGGATATTTCTAGGTGGTTAGCTGGTTGCTCAAGTTGCTTCACTTGTGAGAATGGGTGGAGGTGGTTCTTTGCCCATTTAAAGGGTTTTTTGTTTGTCTGTTTTTAAATAAAAGTTACACTTGCCCCACCAGGCTTCTAGTCCCCAGAGGTGATAGTGTTACTCATGTGTGTAAATATATAGTAAATGTTCCTAAAAGTAGAATTGTGGGGTCAGGT